AAAAAAACTTCAACTGGGGAGTTCAGTGAAGTGAAATCATTCCAAAAAAACTTCAACTGGGGAGTTCAGTGAAGTGAAGTACTTCCAAAAAAAACTTCAACTGGGGAGTTCAGTGAAGTGAAGTACTTCCAAATGAAATTTTGAACTGGGGAGTTCAGTGAAGTGAAGTCCTTCCAAAAAAAAACTTCAACTGGGGAGTTCAGTGAAGTGAAGCTGGGTCCTTTCAAAAAAAATTTGGGGAGTTGAGTGAATTTGGGTCCTTCCAACAAAGAAATTTGAACTGGAGAGTTCAGTGAAGGTAGGCCCTTTCAAAAAAAAAAACCTTCAACTGTGGAGGTCAATGTTTTTTTATTGAAAGATAGTTTTTTTTAAAAACAAATATAGAGATATACATGTATGTTTATTTTACAAGGTATTCTTATCCCTGAACCCTAAAACCCTAAACCCTTATTATAGTTCTTAATTATTAAACAATTTTCTTTATATATAAATTCTTTAATATATTCAAAAAATAAAACTAAATACTTTAAGAAAAATATTTGAAACTATATATAATTATATTGTTTTTAAAAAATATATATTCAAAAAATATAAATTTATAGTTTCAAAAATCTAAATAAATAAATTTAAATACTTACATTATATTTTCTGTATTAATTAAATATATATATATATTTAATCATATTTATTTAATTATTTATTGTTTTCACCATAAATTTGCCTGGCCATGTTGGCCAGGCAGGTCTCTGCTGTGCAAAAATTGGCCACCCCCCCATTTCAACAGAAACAACAATGAACCATTTAAACAATTTAGAACACTTTGGTTAGTTGATTTATACTACTTTGTTTTTTCCATTGGGGGGGTGGCCAACACACTAGGTGAAACATGCATGCAAATGAATTAACCCTTTTTCAAGGGTTTTGAGCCTTTTTCAAGGCTTTTGTGCATCATGGTTTGGCCCCTTTTTCAAGGGTGGGGGGGGAGGATGCCTTTTTCAAGGCTCTTCCTCCTCAGTCCATGGCTTCAGACCAGGCAGGTCCACCATGACCTGAGCTACTGCATCTGCAAGCTGCCAGTAGCCCCCCCTACCAATTTGGTAGGCCTTGAGGCCCCAGGAGTTGGCCTCATTGATGACCTCTGAGTTGTCATCCATGATGCACAGGGCTCCAAAGTGGCATGCCCAGTCCACTTTGGAGTCATGCCCAGTGAAGGCATAGGTGCACCTGTAGGACTTCACCTTTTTCAAGGTGGAGCCCAGCAGCTTTGGGATCTGGTCCATGGTTTTTTCAAACCTGTCCTCAGATCCCACCCAGCTGATGATGTGGACATCCACAACAGTCAGCAGCTGCTCCAGAGCCTGCAGGCTGGCTTCTGGCATCTTGTTCCCTTTTTCAAGGGTATTGTGCCAGTCCAGCACCACACATGGCTTCTCTGCCTCCTTTTTCAAGGAGCTGGAGGCCTGGGTCTGGTTCTTTCCCTTTTTCAAGGGAGGTCTGGAGGCTGCCCTTTTGCTGGATTCACTGGCCTCCTTCAGCCTCTCCAGGTGGACACTCAGTCTCTCCCTGAGGGCTTCCTTCTTTGCCACCTCCTCCCTTCTAGTGAGGCAAGCCCTGCTCAGAGACCTGCTCCTGGGCCCATTCTTCCCTCTGGCAGAATGGGCATCCAGGGCATGCTCAACCTTTTTCAAGGCTTCCTCCTCCTCATGCTCTTTTTCAAGAGCTTCAGCTTTCTGCTTCTCCACAGAAGCCAATGCCTTTTTCAAGGCATCTTCCTTCTCCTGCAGAGAAGCTGAGGAGGTAGCAGGGGGGTCTGTCATGGCCAGGGAAGTCCATTGCATAAACTCCCTGGCCTGCCTCCTGGCTTGGGAAGTAGTGCCACTCATGGCCTGCCTTCCCTTGTTGTTCACTTTTTCAAGTGAATCCTTCTTGGGGGGCATCACTTTTTCAAGTGGACCACCCCAGGTGGGTTGGTTTTTTCAAACCTGAAGTTTTTCCAAACTCTGTGTGGTTTGGTTTTTTCAAACCTGAAAAGAGTTTTTTCAAACTCTGTGTGGGCACAGCTACAACTACAAAAGGCTAAGCTGTGGGTTGTAGTGCTGTGACTATGCAGTGCTGTGGCTATGCTGTGACTATGTTGTGGCTATATGTCCTACCATACATGCATGTGCTGTGCAGTTGTGTCTGTGCAGTTGTGTGTGTGTGCATCTATTGTCCTACCATACATGTGCTGTGCTGTTGAACTGTGTAAGTGTGCATGTGTGTTTGTGCAGTGACATGGTCATGCATGAGCCAAGTTAGCTGCAGGGCACATACAGGTTACTAACCAACAGAAACAAAGACAAAACTTCCAACTTTCAGGGGTAACCCATTTAGGTGTTAAACCACATTCCCCTTTGGTGGGACCATTTTTTCAACACACCTCATATATCCAAAACTATGTACATACCTAGGGAGCTATGTACATGCAGAGGTACCCTTTTTCAAGGGAGCTATGTACATGCAGAGGTACCCTTTTTCAAGGGTGCTGCCAGGATCCATACCTTTTTCAAGGTTTTTGTGTTTGTGGCTGCCTTTTTCAAGGGTGCTGAAAACACAAACTTTCTCTCATCTGGATGGCCTCATGCTTGGTGATGTGCTCCTTCTCCAGTGAGTCTTTGATCCTGTCGATGATCCACCTATATTGGAGGCTCATCTTCTTTGTCACCTCTACAATCAAGAATTTGTCTTGATCTTTGGAATGCCTGCCAGTCAAATAAGACCTTTCAGGGTTCTTGGCAGTGGTCTTAATTTTTTTTCCCAAGGCTTTCTCTCTGTGGCTTCAACCTTTTTCAAGGCTTCATTCTTAGCAACCTTTTTCAAGGCTGGTTTTTTAGACTTTTCCTTTTTCAAGGAGGCCTGTTTGGCAGATGGCTTTTTCAAGACACCCATGGCATCTTTCAAACCACCATGCACTTCTGCAGAAGCTTGTGGCTGAAAGTTGCCCCTCTTTTTCTTCCACAACCTTGGTGGGCTTGCCCCTTTCTGTGGGCTGGCCAAAACCTTGGGGAAGCCATCAGAGTCCAGGGAGACATCACTCACTCTGGCCTTTAATGACCTTCCCTTTGGCACAATGGCATTTTCTACAGCTTCCTTTTTCAAGGGGCTGTCGCCCTTTTTCAAGGTTCTCTCTTTTTTCTTCAAAATTTCCTTCTTTACCTTTTTCAAGGATGTGTTCTTTTTCTCTGTGCTTACTTTTTTCAAGGTCTCTTTGCTTCCAGCTTTCTGGCCATCATCCTTTTTCAAGGCATTTCCCTGCGGCACCTTTTTCAAGGTGTCTTTACTGCTTCCAGCTTTCTGGCCCTCATCCTTTTTCAAGGCATCTTCCTGGGGCACATCTCTCAACACCTTTTTCAAGGTTTTGTTGAGCTCTTTAAATTGAGTAGCTGTCAGGCTACCAATGACACTGCTGGGCATTGTCTTTGCCCTTACCACCCTTCTGACATGGTGCAGTACCACTGAAATCCTGTCAGCTCTCAGATTTACAAAGACACTACCATTGTAGTCGCTGGTATTCAGCTCAGGCTCCCTAGTAATGAGATGCAGCAAAGCTGATCTCATTGTCTGGGCATGAATTTCAGCTGAACTTTCCAAGTCTACCAAAGCATCAATGAGGGGCAAAACTTGATGCATGGCTAAGGGGTTGTGGGCAGAATTTCTCGACAACAATTCATACCCTTTCAAATTAAATACCAAGTCCTTGTGTTCAGCAAACACTTGGTACAGCAACCCCTGGTCTATCAGAGGTTTGCTGAAATGTCTGGCACCCCCTTTGCCAGCCATGCCTTGTTCAAGGCACTCTCCTTTTTCAAGGCAGTCTCCTTTTTCAAGGCACAAGCCTTTTTCAAGGCAGGAGTTACCTATTTCCCCACCTGCCAGGTGAGGGTTGTTAGATTTTATGTCAGTTGCCTCCTCCTCCTCCTCCGCCTCCTCCTGCCTCGTCCTCCTCTCCTCCTCCTCCTCGTCCTCCTTGTCATCCTTGTTGTCCTTGTCGTCAAGGATGTAGATACCTTTTTCAAGGTGTCCCAGGACTTAGATCCTTTTTCAAGGATCATTTCTTGGCCTTGGAGGAAGCAGCCTTGCTCACAGCTTTAAAGCTAATCTGTACAAGCTCTTTGGCTTCCTCCTTGGCATCCTTCATGCAAGCACATGCCTCCAGGATGTGCTCCTTCAGAACCTCCACTTTGTCCTTCCCTCCCCTCCCAAGGAGTTTTTTGGTTTTCTTCACCATTTCATGGAGGCCATCCAGAACACCTTGCTTGTCCTTGAAGGATTGCTTGCTCAGGTAAGGGCTCTTTTCCACCTTTTTCAAGGCTTCCTCAAAGTTGCTGGAGGTGCTGGTGAGCATGTCCCTGGTCTTCTTTGCCTTTTTCAAGGCAGTTGCCAGGTCCATTGGCTCCTCATCAGCATCCTCAAGGGGCTGGGGCTTGGGCTTGGCCCTGGCTTTACCTTTGCCTTTGCCTTTCTCAAGGCCAGAGCCCTTGGCAGAGCCTTTGCCTTTTTCAAGGCCTCCCAGCAAAATGCTGCGCAAATCCTTTTCCAACATTTTGCACCACTCTGCCTCATGCACTTCCTCCAGCTCATACTCCTGCCCAAACTGGTCTTGCAGGGGCCTCTTACCTGCAACAGTCTTCTCAATGTCCTGGGTGTCCTGGTATTCCCAGACATTGTGGCCAGCTTCTCTGTAGATCAGCCGACCTGATGCCAAGTGGACTTCAAGTTCCTGATCAGTCCACTTGGCATCCACTTCCTTCTGGGTCAGCCATTTCTCTCTCTTTTTCAAGGAGACTTCCTGGCTGACACCCTTGGAGACACTGGCAAACAAGCTTTTGTTCTTCTTCAGCAAGAACAAAGCAGTGCTCAGCCCCTTGCCCTTCTTGTCCATCTCATCGAACTCCTTTTTCAAGGATTCATTGCCCTTCTTTTTCAAGTGGACTTGGTGCTGGTTCCATGCATTGCTTTTGTCAACAGCTGACATGGATTCCTGAAGCACCAGGGCTTGGGTCTCCTCATTATCTGGGTGCTCTTCAGCTGCCTTCAGGATTTTATCCTTCAGGCTTAGCTCCCCCAACTTTTTCAAGTTGCCCTTATTCAGTGTCTGGTCCTTTTTCAAGGATCCTTCCTGGTCCTTTTTCAAGGATCCTCCCTGGTCCTTTTTCAAGGATCCTTTCTGCTTGACCTTTTTCAAGGCTTTCATTGCCATAGCTGGCCTCTTCATCCTATAAGGTTTGCTACTGAAACTACAACTGACAAATCCAAAACAGCTACAGAGGCAGACATGTATATCGGTTTTGTGGAACAATTTATATAATCTATGTTTTTATAATCATTTAAGATTTCATTTTGTTTTAATGTTTCATTTTTATGTTATATCTATTTCATAGATGTGTGTCGGTGTTTTCATATTTTGTTCCCAAATACATTTTACATATTCATGCCATTTTTTTAATTAAAAAAATATTTTGAAAATCAAAAAATATATATACAACTTTAAAATAATAATTTTCAGAGGGCATATTCATGTTTGATTGAATATATAATTTTATATTTTATTTTTCATTAATTTACAAACCAAAACAATAAGTAAACAATATTCTATATTTTCACATTGTTTGATAACCCTAATATATAATACTTTTCAATAATAATTGTATAATTGTATATTTTATTTTTCAATTTATTTACAAAACAAAACAATAAAAAAACAATATCATATATTTTCACAAAATATGTTTTATAATTCTTATATATATGTGTGTTTTTGTGAATTTGTTTCATGGTTTGTTTTTAAAATATATATATATATGTATATATATTTCAAAACAATTTATTTCCAACAACTTTTATGTTTATTATCAAGAAAAATGTTTTAGGGAATATTTTTATTACCAAAGAAATCATTCAAATTTCATTTTTTTTGACAACCAAAACTATTTGGAATCCAAAAATCACAAAAAATGAAAAGTGATGAAAAGTGATGAAAAGTGATGATTTCATCACTTTTCATCACTTTTCATCACTTTTCATCACTTTTCATCACTTTTCATCACTTTTCATCACTTTTCATCACTTTTCATTTTTCGTTTTTTTTTTTAATAAAAAAATGTTTAAATAAAATATTTCATCCAAGAGAAGTTCATTCATAAAGGGAGAAGACAGAGTTTGAATTTTTGAACTGTGTTCTCAAAAAATAAAAACTATCAATCTGAAAGGCCATTGGTCTTGAAACTGTCTAAACAAAACTTGAACTGGAGAGTTCAGTGGAGTGAAGTCCTTCCAAAAAAAATGAGCTGGGGAGTTTAGTGGAGTGGAGCCCTTCCAAATAAAACTTTAAACTGGGTAGTTCAGTGAAGTGAAATCATTCCAAAAAAACTTCAACTGGGGAGTTCAGTGAAGTGAAATCATTCCAAAAAAACTTCAACTGGGGAGTTCAGTGAAGTGAAATCATTCCAAAAAAACTTCAACTGGGGAGTTCAGTGAAGTGAAGTACTTCCAAAAAAAACTTCAACTGGGGAGTTCAGTGAAGTGAAGTACTTCCAAATGAAATTTTGAACTGGGGAGTTCAGTGAAGTGAAGTCCT